ATAATTCTCTCAGATAAAAGTCCCAAGTGTGGTGGCATGAGTCTGTAAGTCCCAGGGACTTTAGGGGCTGAGGCAGAATTCTTTAAGGCCAGGAGTTTGTGGCCAATTTGGCCAATATAGTAAGATTGTCTTTTCTTGTTTGTTTATTTATTTTTTGTTTTTGTTTTTTGAGACAGGGTCTCATTACATAGCCCAGGCTGGGCTTCAACTTGCGGATCCTCTTCCAGAGTGCTGGGATCACAGGCATGGGGCCACCACGCCCAGCATTTTGTTTACCTTTTGGAAATACGGTCTCACTAACTTGCTAAGTTCCTCAAATTTGGGATCCTCTTGCCTCAAGCTCCCAGACAACAGGGGTTAAGTGTGTGCCATCAAACCCGACTTGAGACCCTGTCTCTTAAAACAAAATGAAACAATCCCCAGCTGATATAGCATCTGCCCCCCAAAGCTGCAAAGATCGAAGCTTCTTCCATCTTTTTGCTCCTCCCTCCTTCCCGTTTCAACCTCATCTTCAAGGGCCAAGACAGAGGCTTATCAGGTTCAACTCCCAGCTAGGAGTTACAAGGAAAGAGGAAACGAGGAAGGGCGGGTATGTACTCACAACCTCTCCCATTGGCCAGAATTCAGTCATGTAACCACACATGGCTGCAAAGGATGCTGGGAAATGTAGTCTTTATTGAAAGAGGCCATGTGCTCCATTTAAAATGGGAAGTTTGATAACTAAAGAATGCAGAATACAACTGTTGGGGGGCAATTAGACATCCTTGACACCTCATGAAACTGTTGGGACTCTGAGAGACTTGCCTCCATTCAAGACTTTGTAATTCAGGTTTTCAACTCACTAAAACATCCTGGGAAATACATGGAAATACTATCCCTCCCAAAGGGGAATGAACCTAGGACCTCATACATTTAAATTTAATAATTTTTGTGGGAGGGAGACGGGGTCTTGCTATATAGTTCAGGCTGACCTTGAACTCACTATGTAGCCCAGGCTGACCTCCAATTTACAGCAATCCTCCTGGCTCAGTCTCCCAGGTGCTGGGATTACAGGCACTGCCACCATGTTCCATTTAAATTTTAGTTCCATTTTTTTTGTAGTACTGGAGATTAAATCTAGGGCCTTCACATCGGGCTACATCCACAGCCTTTATTTATTTTTAATATTTATTTATTTATTTAGGTTTTCTGAGGCAGGGTCTCATTTTGTAGTTCAGGCTGGCCCTAAACTCACTATGTACCCATGGTGGCCTCAGTCTTACAGTGATCCTCCTCCCTCAGCCTCCCAAGTGCTGGAATTACAGGCTTCTGCCACCACGTCCAAGTTCTTTATTTATTTTCAAACAAGGTCTCACTATGTTGATAAATTGCCCAGGCTGGCCTTAAACTTGAGATCCTCGTGCCTCAGCCTCCTGAGTAACTGGGATTATTGGCATGCATTGGCTCTGTCACTGAGCTACACTCTGGACCCAAATGCAGGTTTTCTAAATCCCATACTTTTGTTCAAATGAGAAAGGGAACAAGGGAGGGGGGAATGGGAAGAGAAAGAAGGAACAAGGGAAAAATGAGAATAGAAGGAAAAATAGAAACAAAGCTTTTGTAAATAAGGAAAGAAAGAGGGGTTGAAGGGAGGGAAGGAGAATGGGAAAAAAAAGAAGCGAGATATATCACGTGCAGGTACAAATTCTCTATGATGAATGTAATCATTATGTATATCTAAAATGTAGTAATAAAAGAAAATAAAAATAAATCTCACATTTTTTTAGCTGGGTGTAGTGGCACATACCTGTAATCCCAGCACTGAGAAGGCTGAAGCAGGAGGATCACCATGAGTTCGAGGCCAGCCTGGACTACATAGTGAGACTCTATCTCAAAACAAAACAAATCCCACGTTTTTTAGCTGGAATTTTTCTGTACAGGAACTTTCACTTATCACTTAGGGCTATTTGATCCTGCAGACAGTCTGAGTGTAGGAGAAGCTGAACAAATGCTTAATTCTTTCCCTTGAAAAGCCTGCTTTGAGAGATAAGAGGTGGATGCCCTAGTTACCTCCAATTGGTCTGAAGCACTTTCCTTCTGCTGTCAGGCATCATTCTGAACTTGTGGGTTTTCATGCATGGAATGTTTGACTGCTTTCAGTCTTTTCACCATTCTTTGAAATCTGAGCTCCTCTATTTTTCCTTTATTACAGTGAGTCTAACAGCCCGGCCTGATGGTTCACACTTGTAATCCTAGCACTTGGGAGACTGAGGCAGGAGGATCCCATGAGTTCAAGACCAGCCTGGGCTACATAGTGAGTTCAAGGCCAGCCTGAACTACATAGTAAGACCTTGTCTCAAAAAAAAAAAAGTTGGGCTGGGGATTTAGCTCAGTGGTTCTGTCACCAGTCTCGAAAGCACAAGGTCCCGAGTTGATTCCCGGTACCAAAAAAATAAAGTTATTACCATGATTTTATGTACAGTATTAGTAAGAAAGAAGGCCCAGCACAGTGGCCAGTGAATGTAATCTAGATACTTGAGAGGCTGAGGCAGGAAGATGGCAAGTACAAGGCCAACCTAGGCAGCTTAGTAAGACCCTGTCTCAAAATAAAATAAAAAGGGCTGAGGTTTAGCTTAGTAGTAGCTCATTCATGAGCTCTTGGGTTCAATACCCAGTACCATAAAAGAAAAAAGAAAGAAAATATATACAGTTAGCTGTCCATATCTGTAGGGACCATCAAACAAAAGTATTTTTTTAAAACTCCAGGACTGGGGAGTGTGGCTCAGTGGTAAAGTGCTTGCCTACCATGCTCAAGGCCCTGGGTTCAAACTCTAGCACGACTTAAAAAAAAAAACTCCATCTGGGGCTGGGGGTGTAGGTCAGTGGCAGACCCAGTGCTGTGTGAGGGAGGATCTGGATTCAATCCTGGACATCAAAATAATAAAAATTTCCTCTGGATAGACTTTTTTCTTGCCATATTCTCTATGGCCTAACAATTATTATTATTATTATTATTTTTGGTACCGGGGATCGAACTTGGATCCTTCTGCTTGCAAGGCAGGCGGCAGAACTACTGAGCTAAATCCCCGGCCCCCAATTATTTTTTAAATTTTTATTTTTTTTGCCTAACAATTATTTACATAACATTTACACTGTATTAGGAAACATGTCATCTAGAGGTTTTTTGTGTTTTTTTGAGACAGGATCTCCTTGTGTAGTTCAGGCTGGTCTTGAACTCACTATGGAGCCCAGGCTGGCCTCGAACTCAAAGCAATCCCCTCCTGCCTCAGCTTCCCCACTTCTGGGAGGACAGGCGTGCACCACCACTGTTTTTTCATGGCTGGTCATGGTGGTCCACACCTGTCCTCCCAGCACAGGGGAGGCTGAGGCAGGAGGATCCTCCAGAGTTGGAGAGCAGCCTGGGCCACATAGTGAGTTCAAGGTCGGCCTGAACTGTATAGTGAGACCCTATCTCAAAAAAGAAAACCAAAACCAAAGCAAACCAATCCCTGTATTGCTTTCACGGGGCCTTACCCTCAGGATGTCATCTACCCCTCAGCAGCTTTCACTCATCCCGCCTCCAAACACCATCACCATGTAACTTTGGGGATTAACTTTCTTTCCAGCACATGAACTTCTATAGCATTATCTTTTTTTTTTTGTACTGGAGATTGAACTCGGGACCTTGCGGTTGCAAGGCAGGCGCTGGAACCACTGAGGTAAATCTCTGGCCCAAAGGTATCCATCTGTTTTATTTTTGTACCGGGGATCGAACTTGGGACCTTGCGCTTCTGAGGCCGGCGACAGAACCACTGAGCTAAATCCCTGGCCCCTATAACATTGTCTTTACATGCAACTTCAAAATTTTGTTATTTCATTCATCGTGACTTTTTTTTTTGGAGACAGAGTCTCACTACATAGCCCAAGTTGGCCTTGAACTCACAGCAATCCTCTTGGTTTAACCTCTTGAGCGCTGGGATTACAGGTTTGTACCACCATGCCCACCTTTACCGTGGATTATTTGCATTTTTATTTTAAAATATTCCCCAGGCACACTGAACATCTGTTTTCCCGGCCACTCCAGGAGACTGATGCAGGAAGATTGAGCCCAGGATTTCCAAACTAGCCTGGGGAACATAGTGACATGTCATCTCAAAAACAAAATCAAGATGTAAATAAAAATATTTCACTAACTTCTTGATTACTCAAATATTTTTGGCACTGCACTTTTTGGTTTTGTCACAAGAAAGTTTGCGCTCCGCTTCTGGTGGGTACTGGGGACCAGTGCACAGTTTTAGAGCGGGTGAGATCCCTATTAGCATAGATTTCCAGAGTTCACCGTAGGTGAGGAAGCAGGAATAGAGAGGCAGGATCGCCTGCGATAAGGAGAGCTGCCAGAGCTCCGGAGAGTCAGGGAGGCGGGGTCCCGCTTTTCCCCACCCGGGGCTGCCAGGGGCTGCCAGGGGCTGCGGATCCCGCGCCCCATGTGCGCGCCAGGACCCGGATGTGCAGCGCGCGGGTTGTCAGAACGGCCGAGGGTGCAAACGCCGCACTGTACGCGCTGGCGTTCCCTGCAGTTGAACAACCGTTTTTTCCTCCGCTGCCGCCGCTCCAGGCAGTCCGAGCAAGCACCTGGCGGCCGACGCGCGCAGGGAACCGCGACACCTGGCTGCATTGTTGCCGCCGTGGTTCCCGCCGCCCCCTCCCTTTAGCTCCCCAGACGCGACCCTAGCACCCGCCCCCACCTGTGCGGGGCTCGTGCCCCTTTAAGAGGACAGACACCGCCAGGGGTGGGCACGGTCGTAGCGTACTGAATTAGTGTAGTTGTGGTGGTGGGGGTCGGAATTTAGGGACTCTGATTGGCTAAAATCACGGACGGCGGGCGCTGGCGCGTGCGCAGTACAACACCGCGCGCGCCCGGGAAGGAGGAACGCGCGCCGGTGCTAATTGGCCCTGGCGGCGGCCCCGCCCACGAGTGGAGAGTGGTCACGTGACGCGACGGCTGGGGGCTCCCGGCGCGGGGGACGCTGGTGGCCAAGATGGCGGCGGAGCTGGTGGAGGCCAAAGTGAGTGAGCGGCGGCGGCGCCGGCCGGACCAGGCCGGGGCGGGCGGAGGACGGGGCGGGGCTCGGGCCGCGGGCCGAAGTCGGTGGCTTCCGCCCGGGGCCGCGCGAGGCGGCCCGCCCAAGGCTAGTCCTCCGGGTGCCCGGCCACGGCGCCGGGGCGCGGGGGGCGGGGAGGCCGGGGGCGGGGCCCCCCAAACCTCACCCGGGTCTCCGCGCCAGGGTCTGTGTCTGGCTGGAGCTAGAGATCCCCCCTCCCAGCGACTCTATAGGTTAGGGCCCGGGGACAGGGCCGCGCCTCCCGGCTGCAGGCACGATCCCTCCGGACAGCAGAACGGGCTGGTTTCGTCACGAGCGGGGTCCAAGCTCTGTCTGCGCCTTGCCGCCCTCGTGCAGCCGAGGACCGGTGTCTCGCTCTTGTCTCCTCTCCTTGCAGGCTGTCCTGGGGTCTGTGAGTCTCTGCTTGGACAGGTCCGCTGACCCCGGGATGACGTTCCCTGTTCCCTGCTACCACCCAGGTGCGTGCTCCAGGGTCTGAACCAGCCCAAACGGGGCGTTCTCTTGGGTCCCTGCTCCAGACTTACTTTGGAGTCTCCTCTTCAGCTCCTGCGTGGGTCCCAGGGACCCGCCCCCTCCTGACACTTGGGGCCACACGAGGTGCACCCCTTGCCTTCCCTGTGGACTGGAGCCTGACTCCCGTTCTAGATCAGAGGTCTTCTTAAGTTCCCCATCTCAGTCTCGCGACCAGGTCTCTGCCTTCTCTTGTCTTTCCTTTGGAAATAGCATCTCTGTTTTAGGAGGGCTCTCTGCCCCACACTCCAAGGAGCAGGTCCTGGCCTATATTGTACCTCCAGCCTTACTCCCCAGTGCTTCTACTAGTTGGGTTAGACTCTCATCTTTTCTCGTGCACCCAGCTCTGACTTCTGAGCTTCCCTTTTTCTGTCTCTTCTCACATACTGGTCCCCAACTACGACGTTTTATGGTGAGTCTCTTAAGTTCCCACTGCTGCTTTCTGATTCTTCAAGTCCAGGTTTCCTGTCCTGTGGACACTGCCCCTGTCATAGTTTGGGGCTCCAGTTCACTCTCTTGGGACTGAGCTCAGAGGGTCTCAAGGATGTGATCTCTCCTAAGTGCATCGCCCAAGTGGGGGTCCGGTGTCCTTGTCTTTGATCCGTTTTGCTTCAAAAGTCCATTCAGGTGCTGATCCTAAGAGCTTGGGGACCCCAGCCCCTTCTGGTCTTCGCTCTGTAAAGTCCTCACGATGTTTTCTCTGTATTGGCTCTTCCATCTTACACCACCCCCTTCTCCTTTGCCTGAATCAAAAGGCAGCCTGCCAGGCTCTGTGATTATAGGGTTTGCCCCCTCTCTGCTCTAGCTCCCACCCTCCCCAACTTGTCTGCTTCTCGCCAGGGTTCTGGGATATGATTCTACCCTGGAAGTGGAGGTCTGAGTTCTGCCAGCAGCTTTCAGGCTTCGAGTCCCTTGGAGGCTCCGGAACCCTGAAATGGAACCTATTATGGGGAATGGGTTGTGCCTCTGGACCACCCCTACTCTGGTGGAGGGAAGGGGCTTTGGCTATTCCCTTTTATGCCATGCAGGGCCTTGAAATATGATCTCATAGACTTCTCTTGACCCTCTGGTGGCTGAGGGCCCCCCTCCCATTAAATCAAGTTGACCCTTTTATCAGAGTCTCTAAACTGTGAGACCTCATTCTGGGAGGCAGGGTCTGCAGTGCAAATTCCCAGACCCAAGACCTTCTGTCTCCTCGAGCAGTCTTGTTACCACCTCAAATTGCCTTCAGTGTCATTGAAATGCCAACCTTTTGGGCCAGAGATTTAGCTCAGTGGTTCCACCGCCTGCCTCGAAAGCGCAAGGTCCCGAGTTTGATCCCTGGTACCAAAAAAGAAAAAAAAAAAAGAAATGTCCACCGTTTTTAAGGAGTTTTCTCTAGACTGTCATGAACAGGGAGATTTTGTCTTTTAGGTTATACCAGGGGCTAATCCAAGGGGAGAACATGGGGTGCTTCTTGGTAGATTGTGACTTCTGAGATCTTTCACTGGCAGCCCCTGCAGCAGGTTTGAGGATATGGTTTGCAGCCCCTGCACATGTATGTGTGTCCCTGACTTGGTTTCCCTTTGGTGCCCAGAGCCCGAGCCTAGAGGGAGCAAGGTGCAGCTGCTCTGCCCAGGCAGCTCTTTCCCCATGCAGGGTCTAAATAAGCCCAAGGTGCAGCTCAGCCCTAGAAGCTATAGGGGCCTGGCACAGTTTAGAAACACAAGTCTGACAGGTGGGCATGCTCACAGCCAGGGCAGGAAGTGATCTGTGGGGCTCTGGAGCTTTCTCCTGCGTGTCTGTTTCCCCCCAGCACCTCCAGGCTCCAAGGGCAGGCTCCTGGGTGGCAGCAGCTGTGGAGAAATCCGAGTCTCGAGCATATGGCAGCAGGAGTGGTGCACTGTGGGCTGCTTGTGCACTCTGGATGTCCAACCTGAGTGGGTGATATCATGAGGGCCACTGAGCCCGCCTGCCTTGGTGTGGTCAGCTCCTATCTCATAACACCTCCTTTCCTTGTGGGCTTGGGCCCTTTCCAGGAGAAGCATCTTGTCCCCAAGGCTGTTTATTCCTGCTCCAAGTAGGAAATCCAGGTGATGCATGGAAGCATCTTTCTTTCCAAGCATCCCCAGGCTGCCTAGGTCCCTGGGAGCCACTGTGCCGGTGGCTGGCAAAGGCCCTCCAGCCGCCTGCAGCTGGGTGAGTGGAAGGAAATGCCCTCAGCCCCACGACCACACAGCCAAACGCTGGCTCTGCTGTTTGTATCCAGGAGACTCTTGAGTCAGCTGCTGTCCCTCCTGGCCTCAGTTTCCTCAGCTTGTGTGTGAGGTTTGCGATACTAAAAGGTCTGCCAGTGTCTGGCACGTTGGAGACACTGCAGGGCCACTCTGTCTCAGACGCTTTGCAGACAGGGCTGGGCAGTTGGATTGTTTGTCTTGAGTACTTTGGGCTTGGGCAGCCCTGACGATTGGCCAGGGCCACCAAGGAGCTCTAATTCCAGCTCTTAGGGTTGTTTCTCCCTGAGGCCTCACTTGTAAGCAGCCAGGGGTGGAAACCCAGAGTCTCTTGGCACACAGACCACTGTAGATGCATGGTGGGGTCCCCAGCAGCTCCCACCCGGATGGTCTAATTGGGGTTTGGTGGTGTGTATGTTTCTGGGGCTGCTCTGGGCCCACACCACTGTCCACATGCACTGCGCCCTGTCCCATTCCCCCAAAGGCTTTTTCCCCACCAGGTTTTGTTCTTCCCAGGCCAGCTTCCGGTCAGCAGAGTTGACCCAGGACCAGGCTGGCCCATCGCTGGAGAACACTCGCTCTCTTGAGATCTTTCCCCAGCCCCAGACAGCCCCAGCTCACATGCTGTGCTCTGGTTTGCTTTGATTACCGGAGGGACCTGGTCAGGTAATCAGTGCCAGATCCTGGCGATCCACAGTTGTGGCTTTGCCACCAGCTCACTCCCCAGCCCGTGTGGGTGCTCAAGGCCTCAGATAAGCAGTTCTCAACCAGGGACACCCAGGGACTCTGGGTGATACCTGAGTACATTGGTGGTTGTCATACTGGGGACGCTTTTGGCGTAGTGCGGGTGGAGGTGGGGGACACCACTCAGTGCCCTACAGTGCCCGGGACACCTGCCACAGGGAATGACCCAGCATGGGACCCAGGGGCCGAGACCTTGCCTGAGATGCTTAGCAGATCCCAAGCCCAGCTTGGTGTTGGTGCTTGGTGGAGGCAGGAGTTAGAGAAGAAACAGACCCCTCCCCAATTTAGTCAGGCTGGGAGTTCTGAGCTTCCTGTCTTGTAGTTTACTCCACCTTGGTAGAGGTGTCTTAGGTATCCAAGTTAGAGTGGATCACACGTCCACCTCGCTTCCTGCCAGCTGGTTAGTATTAAGTAAACTGTGACTGATCACCTCTGTGGAAAGGAAGCGTGTTTGTGGCTCCGGATGGTTGAGAACTCCTTCCATCAGGTGCTCTACGTGGGTCACCTCACCTGGCACCTCCTCCATGCTGAGGAGGTGGAGAGTGTGATCCACTCCAGTGAAGAGATCCACAGTCAGGGAGGCTGCCATCGTGTGTCAGCTAGGAACTAGCAGAGGCACCTTACAAGTAGAGTGAGGTTTCTAGTGTCTTTGACTTGGTTTTGGCTTTTTGAGACAGGGTCTCATTATGTAGTCCCAGACTGGCCCTGTACTCACTGTGTAGCCCAGGGTGGCCTTCAACACTTGATGATCATCCTGCCTCAGCCTCCCAATTGTTGGGATGACAAGTGTGTACACCATGCCTGAGTTCCTGTTCCTGTCCTGGGGATCTTCAGGCTTGAAGATGGAAAGAGAGAACTTGAAATAGAAGAGGAGGTCAGGGGCACTTGTGCTGCATTGCAGATGCCCAGAAGAGTCGGGGGACCCCAGTCATGGGCAGGCCTCGAGCTGGATGCCCCGCCTCCCAGCCCTGATCACCTACCCGCCTGCCCTCTGAGTGGTGTGTATTTGCTTGCTCTTCCTCAGAACATGGTGATGAGCTTCCGGGTCTCCGACCTGCAGATGCTGCTGGGATTCGTGGGCCGCAGCAAGAGCGGGCTGAAGCATGAGCTGGTCACCAGGGCACTGCAGCTGGTGCAGTTCGACTGCAGCCCCGAGCTCTTTAAGAAGATCAAGGAGCTCTATGAGACTCGCTATGCGAAGAAGGGTGCCGAGCCCGGCCCGCAGCCACACCGGCCCCTGGACCCCCTCACCGTGCACTCGGCTTATGAGCGGGCCAGCGCTGTGCCCAGGACTCCCCTGTCAGGCCCCAATATTGACTACCCCGTGCTCTACGGGAAGTACCTGAACGGACTGGGACGTTTGCCTGCCAAGACACTCAAACCCGAGGTCCGCCTAGTGAAGCTGCCCTTCTTCAACATGCTGGACGAGCTGCTGAAGCCCACGGAGTTAGGTGAGTGTTGCCAACACTGCCACCGCCTGTACCACATCCCTGCCATGCAACCGGGGGCTGAGGACGATGGCCCAGGGACCACCTCTGATGTGGGTGATGCCCACTATGTGACCCAGCAGCTTTCAGTGACAGGTTGTCAGTTGGCTTTCAGGTCCCAGAAGTCTGGAAGTCACCAGGGCTCTGTTTGTTTGTTTGTTTTGAGACAGGGTCTCACTGTGTAGTTTAGGCTAGCCTTGAACTCACTGTGTAGCTCAGACTGGCCTTGAACTCACTGTGTAGCTCAGACTGGCTTTGAACTCAGGGCTCAGCCTCAAGAGTGCTGGAATTACAGGTGTGCACCACCATGCCCAGCTTAGGGTGTTTTTGTTTTGAGATGGGGTCTGTGTTGCCTAAGTTGGACTCAAACAATCCTCCTGCCACAGCGTCTTTTTTTTTGGTACTGGGGATTGAATTTAGGACCTTGAACTTGTGAGGCAGGCGGGACCACTGAGCTAAATCCCTGGCCCTACAGCCGTTTTTTTGTTTGTTTGTTTGTTTGTTTGTTTTGGTACTGGGGATCGAACTTGACACCTTGCGCTTGCGAGGCAGGCGCCAGAACCACTGAGCTAAATCCCCAGCCCCTACAGCCCTTTTTATAAGTAATCTTGGAGGTGCTACACTTTCACCTGGGCTGTGTCCCATGACACACACAGAGGCCTCCAGGGTAGCATGGGAGGGCAGCCTAGGGGCTGTCCTGGAGGCTGGCAGCCTCATGCTTAGTCCCTGTGGGACAGGGGTGAGAGATAGGGTCTGACCCTGCTTCCTTTTCTCAGATGTGTGTTGACAGGATGAGAAAGGTCTGGGCTCTATAGTGCCACTATTCACATGTTTTTATATCCTGAATGTTAATGGTGCTGTGTGCCAGCACCTTGTGTTGCCAGGCTCCTTGGTAGAGAGGGCATCTGGCCTCCAGGGTCCCCAGGGTGCCAATGCAGGGCCTGTGGAGAGGCCTGGTCCAGGCCCAGGTTCCCAGATGTTCTTGGAGACCTCCAGCCCGTGTCTCTCCTACTTCCTCCAGCACCCTCCCCAACCCACTCATGATAGGCACGGCCCCTGGCCTCCACAGTGTGCTCTCTAGCACCCCAGGGGAGGAGCCAGGTCTCCCACACCTGCCTGTGGCACCTGCTCTCCAGCCCTAGCTCTTCCTGAGTTGGCCCCTGCCTGCCGCAGCCCTTCCCCTGCTCACCCTCCTCGGGCTTGGTAGCTCAATCCCCTGCACCCCCTCTGCTGACCCAGCATTCTGTCTGGCCGCCCACAAGGCCCCGGGCCCCGCTCTGGCACACATGCAGTTCAGCACAGGCCAACTGGCCACCAGGCCCCATCCCCTGCCCTGGAGCAGGGAGGCCCTGCAGGCTGCATCCCTTCCTGCCCACCACCCTTGGACTTGGTGCAGCTGGGTGGGGCAACTGTGGTTGAAGGTGGGGCTGTAGGAGGTGGAGGAGGAAAAAGGGCACCAGTGGCTCTGCAGACCACAGAGGTCCTGCCCTCTGGTCTGAGCTCCACCCCAGTTTAAGTGGAGCCATTTGGGAGGCAGCTGGTACAACAGCACCTGTGGGGACTGAGACTCATCAGCCAGTTTTGGGCTGGCTTCCTGGGCCTCTCCTCCAGCCCCTGTGGGTGCTAGAAACCAACCCCCTGTAGTTCTCTGGGAGCCTTGGGGAGGAGCTGGATGGCTCAGGTCAAAGTGATGATTTGAGCGGTGACGTGATGTGATGTGACGGGGTGACTTTGAACTCTGGAGGTGGCCTGGCCTCCCTGCCTGTGTGGAGGGCTTCCTTCCTGCGGGGTGAGCAAGCTGCCTGTTCCACCCCGCCCCACAGTGCATCACTGTGTGAGCCCCCCCCCGGGGGGGGCCCCTTGTCACCTGATCTTTGGGAGAGCCTGCTCCCCTGTCTGCACCAGGAACACTGCTGTGGCAGAACAAAGAGGCCGAGCTGCCCTGCCTTCTCCCACCCCACTGACTGGGCACACGCCTGCCCTGCACCCCGGCGGCTTCTGCCCAGGTCCTTGGGGAATGTCTCCCTCAGCACGGGCTGGGTTCACTGAAGTTCTGGCACTGCGGTGCCACCTTCCCCCTGCCCTTCCTTCCCTGTGGTGAAATTGGTGGCACTGGTGCTACCTAGCTTTGCCAAATTCTCTTCCCCCTCAACTGGGCCTCAGCCCACCCACCAAAACAAGGGCCTCACGCTCAGGTCTGGTTCCCCAGAAGAGCTGAGGCCAACTCTAGGGCACAGACCCGGCCAGGCGGACAGGGGCCATAAATCACCCAGGGAATGCTGGGTTGGGGGAGGGGAGGGATCCTGCAGCTGGGGACCAGAGCCCAGACACAGCAAGAGTCCCAGGAGACTGGCAGCCCCTCCACCGGGGGCCAGGGCTGGTGCCCAGCGAGGTCAGGAGACTCACCCAAGGTCACACAGCACCCTGAACACGTGTCCTCTCAGCTTGAGCCCTTTCCCAGCAGACTGAAGCCTGCACCAATTGCTGGGGGTGGTCCAGGTTGGGGACCCCATTCCTTCTCCGTGTGAGGAGCTGGGGCTGGCTGGCCCAGGGCAGAAGGCCACTCTGACCTCAGTAGGACACGGTCACAGCAGCACTGGCCCATGTGTCTGGCAGCCTGAGGGTCCCAGGCTGAGAGGTGCGAGAGGAATTGCAGCTGGGAGCAGGACAGAAGCACTCTGCTGCAGGCCCCCAGCATCCTGTGGCACCACTCCTTATCCCCCACTACATGCAGAGTGAGTGGCTCCATTGCCAGGACATCCTCAAATGCCACCCAGTGGTGTACAGCACTGATGTCAGCCAAGAGGTCTGGAATCCTTTGTCCCTCATCAGCGGGTAGCCAGGCTGAGGGGTTCGGGAGGTTCGGGAGCAGATTGTTGTGTGTCTGCAAGGAGGTGAACTAGGAGGGCTCCTTGGAAGTGGTTGCATTTCATGAGACCTGAGGGGGCACAGCCATAAGCCAGGCAAAGAGGAGGGGGTGGGAGGTGTCCTGGGCAGAGGACTGGCAATGCAGGAGGGCTTGTTCCCAGGCTGAATGGAGGCTATTGTGACCCTCATGGATGTTGCGGGAGGAAGGGCAGCAGTGTGGAGACCAAAGGATGGTGGGCACAGGGACGAGGAGGGACCAGGCACCTCTGGGGCTGCAGAGTCAGTTCCTGTGAGCCCTTCCTGGGTTTTTTTTTGGCGGGGGGTGGCTACCAGGGATTGAACTTGGGTCGCAGGCGGCGAAACCACTGAGCTAAATCCCCAGGCCCCTTCCTATTTTTATTTTCTGTACTCCCCACCTCATATGGGGCTGAACCCAGAGCCTTCCCACTGAGCTACATCCCCTGCTGTTTTTTAAAATTTTGAGACAGTTTCACTAACTTGCTTAGTTGCCTAGGCTGAGCTTGAACTTGGAGTCATCCTGCCTCGGCCTCCCATAGCACTGGGGTGACAGGTGTGTGCCACCACATCCAACCTGGCATGTCTTTTGAGGGTGGAATTTTCCCTTCCCATCAGTGAAGAGCCTATGGGGGCCAGGGATTTAGCTCAGCAGCACTGCGCCTGCCTTGCAAGCGCAAGGTCCTGAGTTCAGTCCCCAGTACCAGAAAAAAAAAGTATGTAGGTGCAGAGGGGTCAGCTTCATGGCCAGGTATGGCTGGGTTCACATCCCCTCTGGTGTCAGGGTCCATCGTGTGGCTGGAGCATGGGCAGCTGCCTGGTGTCCTGTGTCACTGTCCCCAGCTCCTAAGTTACACTCTTTCCCAGGTCCCCACAGGGCTCTGCCCTAACCATTTCCCAGGCTGGCATGGGACTCCGGGTCCCCTCCTCAGAGTGGCCTCCCCAGTGGGCCCTGCCTCAGGACCCCATTTTCCCCTGTAGCCTTCTCCCAGTGCTGTGTCTCTCTCTCTGTTTTCTACACTGTTCAATGATTTGTATTCCCCAGTACCTGGGCCTAGTGGCTCATGGGGTACCGGGTAGGCTGTGTGCCAGAGCAGAGCACAGGCTGGAGCTGAGAAGCAGCCAGGGCCAGGAGGCGGGTGGGCCAAGGTCCCCTCTCCACCCATGATCCCCTCTCCACACATGATCCTGTTCCCTCCAGCAGCTCCCCACCCAGAAACAGCAAGTGCATAGGGGCCAGGGCAAGGCTGGATGGGCAACTCCCACCCTGCTGAGGGGAAGCCTGGGCTTTTCCTGCAGTCCCCACCTGGGGCTGGGGCCCATCATGGCCCTGGCTCTGCCTACCCTATCCCCCATCCCTTGGACCTCGACCCCATGCTGTCCAGGTTCAGGCCTGTGTACCGGAATGGAGGGGGACATGATCCTTGAGAAGGAGGGACCTCGGTCCTCCATGTCCTTTGACCACTGGAGCAGCAAGGCTCCCTTGGGCCTGAGGGTCAGGGAGCTATCACAGACAGGTTCCAGGCCCATGAGTTGGTGAACAGCCCTCTCTGATCAACTCTTAAAATTTCCTTGTGCTGGGGGTGGTGGTGCACGCCTGTAATCCCAGGACTTGGGAGGCTAAGGGAGGAGAATCACTGCAAGTTCGAGGCCAGCCTGGGCTACATAGTAAGTTCAAGGCCAGCTGGAACTACACAGGGAGACCCTGTCTACAAACAAACAAACATAATTTCCTTGTGAGCTGGGTGCGGTAGCACATACTAGAAATCCCAGAACTCTGGGAGGCTGAGGCAGGAGGATTGCAAGTTTGAGCCCAACCCGGGCGACTTAGTGACTTAGCCAGATCCTGTCTCAAAGTAGAAAATAAAAGGTTGAGGATGTAGCTCAGTGTAAAGGTCCTGGGTTCCATTCCAGTACTCCAAAAATATAAACAGACAAGCTCCTTGTATCTAGTTTTTACTTCAACTTTTATAAAATCACACATCCATCACAGAAAGTGCAAGTCACCGGCACAGAAGCCAGCCACAGCCAGCAGCCCAGCACAGGCCACAGGGTGGGGAGCTGTCCATGCCCTCTGCGGC